GTCAGCCCTCTGCCCAATAGGCCCACTTGCTGCTCTGCAAATGCCAGCATGTGTGAAGCAGGCTCACGGTCAAAAATGAACTTTAACTCAACCTCAAATATACACCTTCAAGATGTCAGAAATTCCATTAACATAAATGCCATAGCACATGAGCAGCTCTTCAGAGGCCTGACTTCCCCTCTGGGAGATGACTGACTACAGGGTTAGGCATAGTATTAATGTGTTACCAAACTGTTACATTTTAACTCCCCCCATCCAACTACTTTGTTTTCATTTTCTCCATTAGAAGTTGTTTTGTGGGCTGCTGCTGTGCCCAGGCAGTGGCAGCTGCCACCCAAAGTGACTGCTACCTGGAGCCTCACCAATCTCCCAGCTTCTCTCTCCCATTCCATACAAAGATAATATTTTCAAAAATAAAAAGTCAAGCCATTGTGGCCCTGAGGCACAGGGGCATGCAGGGAAGAGTTTTGTTGTGTGTTAAGGGAGGACAGCAGGGAAGTGAGAAGAAAGAGGGGACCCTCCCATTTTCAGAATGAAAAATGAGGTATGCTTTACAGTAAAGGGCAAATTGGGAGACAACTGTGATTATCTCTCTGTGACCCCCTTACTGATCTCTTGTAGTACCAACCTCTGCTTCTCAAAGCTACCTCTACCCTCCCTTCCACACTACAGTCACCCCTCTTGCCACCAATTCACCAGCACCCACATCCACCAATTGATATAATTCCACCCTGCATTCAACTGGGCCAAACCAACTGTGGAGGGATGGGCTCTCTGGACCCACCCAGGAGCCACTGGGCATCATTTACCCTCTCTTCTCCCCCAGTTGGCAGCCTTGGGGAATTTCTCTGCAGGGTACATCCCACAGACTGGTGTCTGGCTCCTGTTCTTCCTTTCCCTTCACAAGAGGGGAAGGCCTGGCTGGAACAAAGACCAGCCTCTCAGGCAGCCCCTAGAGACTCAGCTGTAAGGACTCAGTCTCTCAGAGTCTATTGCCCCTTCACAGGGTTTACCTTCTACCCCTCTTCCTGGGGCGTGTTGCTTTACCTTCAGTCAGGGCAGCTCCAGGAGCAGTGTCTCACAGCTGTCTCCTCCTTGGCTGGACTCTATTACCATCAGTCTAGCAACTTTCTTCCTGTTCACCACCTCATTCTGTGGTAAATTCCCCCCTTTTAAGCTCCCCCTCCCTCCAGGCTGAGCAAGTTTTGTAGGTGTGTCTCATTAGCCTGGAACAGGCCCAGAGGAGCTTGTTAGCCTCCTTCATAAGAGGGTGAGGGCATGTCACTTCACACACCAACCCATGCCCCTCCCATCTCAGAATCTCTGCAGGCTCCCTTGCCTCCGTCATTCCCAACCCCACCTGCACATCAACATCCTCCCTGCCCCCCCCCATCACTACTGGTCCCTCCAAGCTAAGAACCCCTTCTTCTTGCCTAAACTCAGCACAGCATGGGCCCACCCCATTCAGCTCAGAACTCTCTTCCCACCAAGGCTCAGAACAAACACATACACCTCTCAAGATTCGGAGAACCCATTGTCAGGCTCAGAATTATTCCCCCTTCTACTGAACGTCTTCCACCACCTGTCTCAGATGGACCCACCTTTCCTTGGCCCTAACTTACTTGTTGCTTGGTATGGAAAAGCAAGAACAGACACATCAAAGAGCCTATGTATGGGATGTGACATAGCCCTACAGATGCTTGTATTCTCTCTGTGCCCTCTCCCTCTGATGCTGCAGTCTATGGGTTTGTCCACGCTGCCAGAAAAGGTGTGTTCGTAGCTTGGGCCAATTACCCCATGTTAGCTAACTCAGGTTAAAATAGCAGTGAAGACACAGCGACTCAACTTTTAACTTGGGTTAGCAGCTCAAGTTAAACTGCAGGCTGCCCTATAGGCTTGGACTCGAGCTGCAACGTCAAGCTGTGAATTTGAGTAAAAAGCCAAGTTGCCATGTCTTCACTGCTGTTGTCCCTTGAGTTAGGGAATGCGGGTTAGCTAACCCGGGTTAAGGACACATCTGTGTTTGCAGTGCAGCTATGCCCTTTGTGCTGCAAGGCCAGAAGCAGCCACATCCCTGACAGTGCAGTTCCAGCCCTGCCAGGAGCTCCCATTGGCAGCAGGTGGGATTTCTCCCTGCTATATCTCAGCCACACCACACAGTTATTATGGTATTGGTGGGGCTCAGCGCCGAATGACCAGCTACCCCGTGTACAGATGCATTCTAAGCACCACATGTGAAGATGTAAGGAATGTGTGTAATATATGTGTAATCCCTTACCCACCATTGGAACAAATAACATGGGCTAAAAATGTTGTTTATCCAACAAAATCTTACTCTATATTGTAGCCTTTTCTCTTCTCTTAATATTAATGCCACTCTCTCTGTAGGATATTTTATATTTAATACATTCTTGTACTCCCTGAACAACCAAAGATGGCATGAGATTTGCTCTTTTCCTATCGTGTACATCAGAGGTTCCCAAACTTGTTCTGCCGCTTGTGCAGGGAAAGCTCCTGGTGGGCCGGGCCGGTTTGTTTACCTGCCGCGTCTGCAGGTTCGGACGATTATGACTCCCAGTGGCCGCGGTTCGCTGCTCCAGGCCAATGGGGATGGCAGGAAGTGGCAGCCAGCACATCCCTCGGCCTGTGCCGCTTCCAGCAGCTCCCATTGGCCTGGAGCAGCGAACCGCAACCAGTGGGAGCCACGATCGGACGAACCTGCGGACGTGGCAGGTAAACAAACCGTCCCTGCCCACCTGGGGCTTTCCCTGCACAAGTGGCGGAACAAGTTTGGGAAACACTGGTGTATCTGATAACTACAAATATCACTGTTTGTCAAAAAAGTAGTATACTTTATAAATATATGAGAAAATTAGGAAATTTAGTGAATAATTTTCAAAAACAGATTATCATATTTTGGGGCAAATTTTTCTTTGCTGGCCCCAAAACTCAAATCTGCGAGCACAAATATTTGTGCACCCAAACCAAGCAATTTAACATCTAATTAGTGAATCTACCCTGGCAAAAGTCATTCATACATGTAAACTAAATGTTGGGGCACATAGGTTTAGCAGCCATGTTGAGGCCAATTTAAAAAAGTGGCATTTAATAAATTAGATTTATGCTGGAAGGGGAAAAATATGTTTTTGATAATAGGGATCTAAAAAGTATAATGCCTCGTCTTACAGATCAGAAACAGACCTCTGACGTGGATGCGGTTTAATCACAATAACCTAAAGCATGGAGAAAGAGCCCATCACTAGGACTCCGTTTCTAGTCAAAGGAGAAGAACAGATAAAGAGCTGCCTGGTCTGGAGTGGACAGAGTTGCCGAATATCTTCACATTCAGCATTGGCATAACTATATTTGCAACAGGATGCCCAGAAGATCAGTACACTAATATTAGTAACAAATTTCAGTGTTTGTCCACACCCATTGTGTATCCTGTAAGTCAGAGGTCCCCAAACTGTGGGGTACGCCCCCCTGGAGCAGCATGGAGGAATTATCAGGGGGGCCTGGTGGGGCCCTGGCCATCCCCCACAGGGGGCAGGGAGGGAGTGCCACCCAGCCACTCTTTGCCCCTAGCTCTGCTCCTGTCCTACCCACAGCCGTGTCCCCATTTTCTGGCCCAGCGCCTGGCCCCGCCCTGCCCGCGGCTCTGTTCCCAGCCCGGGGCCAAGGCTGGGGGTGGGGGTGGAGCTGCACCTGGCCGCGGGCCCGGCTGCTGGCCCCCACCGCAGCGGCTCTGCTCCTGCCCCCGCCCCCAGCCTTGGCCCCTGGCCGTGGCTCTATCCCCGGCACTGCTCCTGGCCCCAGACCCACCCCCAGCTGCAGCCCCAGCCTCAACCCCCTTACCTCTGTCCACGACCCCCCTCTCCTCCCAGCTGCAGCCCCAGCTCTGGGGTGGCGGCGCAGACAGGGATAAGGGGCGGTGAGACCCTCAAAAGTTTGGGGACCACTGCTTTAAGTGCACAATTCTATGGCTCACGGCCACTATCATGTCTGGTAATAAAACCATGTTAGTTCTGTTCTCAGAATTTAAATGTACCTTTATGAACAGAGCCCTTATAACAGATTTGGAAAGTGTCAGACTAATACTTAAGCTTTTCCCACTCTTTTTCTTGCCTTTCTTAATTCCACGTCCTTTGTGGATTTCACCTTTCACAAAAGTCAAAGCTGATATTGTTACCTCCACCCATATAGGGTGAACAGGCCTCTGTGAGCTTCCCCAGAATGGGGAAGTTCTACAGAATGGATCTCATTTCTCAGCAGTAGTACTTATGCCATTCATTTGCCAGGCTCTCTCACAATGGAGCTTGCTTACTAGCAGGTTTTGGTGATGCACAGCCAAATCTGCTAGGGATTAGGTTAAGACCATATAACTCATTTCACTTATAAACCACCCACGACTGCAGGCTTTCAGAAAGGAAAAAAATAGTTTCAGCCCCATGTGTCACCAAGTCCTAAATGTAATTTAATCACATTTAGTATTTTCTTTTTCTTACTTAAAACACTGCGTGTAAACATCTGAAGGGCAACATGGTTTTTCTCTGTTGCATTCAATACAGAACACAGCTACACAGGACAGTCTGAAATACACCAGCGTCGGCAGCTCAGTGGTTCTCTGATTTTTGATTCATGACATCACAAGTTTCAGCTGCTCAAACTGTACAGAGTATATCTGTTAATGGGGAAAAAAAGAGCTCTCTTTTCCAGCCACTCTCATCGCTTAGGCCTTTGAAAGAAGTTAGTATTGGATAAGAATCTATTCCACTGCCAGTTAATAAGACATATAAGATGTATTGAGAAACACAAAAATATATATATTCTCCTAGCTGATAGAAACTAAGAAAAACTAAGACAAAGAAGGGCAGCTGTGAGACTCAGTCTCATTTACCAAGGCAACACTCATTCCTTGTGTAATCTCTGAGTAACCAAGTTCAAGAAATTATCAGGGTTTTCAATTCTCTTTTCTTTTATTTGTCTAAGAATGAAAAGTGTCACCATCGCTCCACCTGACTGTTATAATCTTCAGTAACAGCTATTTCTGCTGCTGCTTCTTCCTTCTGCCACTGGTGCACTCTTTGCTCCCGGAGTAGCCTCCGCTCCTCCCGCCGTTTTTGCCGGTTCTTCTGGTGCTCCTCTTGCTTGGAGTACTGAAAGCGTTGGAGAAAGAGGTCTTTAGCATATTCATAAAGCTGCATGTCCAGGAAGTTCAACACCTCTATGCGTTTCCGGGCCCCTTCATCAATATCCACATTAGAGGCCCGGGTAATATTGAACTGGGTGAATGGGGAAATGAACTTAAGGTTGAATGTCCTCTCAAAGAGATACTGTGTTTTCCTCTGAAACTCTGTGAGTCCAAAAAAGGCCATGTTTTTCAGGTTGTTCTTGGCGCTTTGGAGAAGGATCATATTTCTCTCACTTTCATTCATAAAAGTCAAGTTGTAACATCCAACCAGGCTCAGGTCTGCCAGCATGCGAACCTGGCGGTTGTTAGCCAGGTTGTAACCACAATCCATGAACTCCTGCAAGCTGACTCCAGACCAATCATCCCCTAGGTAACAGGTAGGCAGCTCATCTGGCGTTGGACTTCTTCCATCACACATGTGGAGGGAAGTTTTCCACGTTGCACCTCTCTGGACATGTTTCCATTCACTCAAATACCGTGACACTGGATCCCTCAGCATTGTGATGTAATAGAAGTTCCTGCAACAAATTTTTAAAACACAGTTTTAGGATTCAGCAGCTTTTACTCTTATTAATCAGCAATTTTTATTTTTCTCTGACGAAATGCTTACTAACCAATGACTCTGTCTTAGGGCAGGTCTACACTTAAAACACTGGATCAGTGCAGCTGCACCGCTTAAGTGAAAATGCTCCTACGCTAGCGGGAGAGCTTTTCCCATCAGCATAGTTAATCCACCTGGCGTGAGGCAGTAGTTGTTGATGGGAGAAGCTCTCCTGCTGACATAGCACTGTCTACACTCGGGGGGTAGATTGGTATAAGTGTGTCACTCAGAGGTGTGGATTTTTTACACCCCTAAGCGACATAGTTATACCCCTATAAATCTGTAGTGTAGACCTTGCCTTAACTTTTTCAAATGGACCAATGCACTTGTAAAACTTAAGCCTATAGAACATTCCTAGCAACCATGACATGTGGATAATAAAACTGACCACACCACAAGATAGATAGTCACTTTCAAGAAGGTGCACCAAGGACACATTTTTATCCCTAACCCATTTATCCATCCGTTCTTCATCACGGCGGTTTTTGAGACACTTACTAGTTCTGAAAGAAGAAATAAGTAATATTAACTACCTCCCAGTGACAAACACAGTAGCACAAAGTGCACACCTTAACGCATGGTGAATATTGTGAACAAACTAGAAGGCAGTTTGTTTTTTGTGATTAATTCTTTTTATTAATTTTCATCCATTTGTGATTAAGGAGATATGCTAGAAAACAAGCAGCAAACAGAAGAGGGATTTTTTTTGATTTCGAGGAAAAGAGATTCTAACCACAACCAATTGTGCAGTGTTCCTCAATTTACAGAGACCGTGACAAATCCAATTGTACTCAATACACTCTTTTTTTATATGCTGGTATTTAGCAATATCGGAATCAATGGGAGAAGATACTCACAACGGTTCAAAGATAAAACAGTGAAACAGTTGTTGTGTCCTTTGAGGATTTACTGTGGTGAGCATTACAGACCACAAAGATGTGAATTATCTCACTACTCTTGTACATAATGAGAAAATATTAATCCTGTCACCTGTCTTCTGGACTGAGACAATATGACTCTCTACAGCACATGGTTAGAATATATGAGCAGCCTGGACAATACCAACTGGATGCTGCAACTGCTGTAAATAATGCAATGTGGAAGATTTTGGCATGACCTGCCGACTTGAAAATGGGTCATTAAATGGGTTACATTGAGGCCAATGACAGGACTAAAATCCATTTACATGACTTAATTTGAGTTGAGAGATGGATTAAAACTAGTTATGATCATGGATACTAAAAATCACTCACTGTTGATGAGTGTAAAGGTTAACATGTTCAGCTGTTATCTGTCAGGAATACAAAAAAGATACTAAAATCTACCTGACATCAAATAGAACAAGAAACTGCAGACCTCAGTTTGTCAATTTATCTTTTAGTTGCCGCATTGAGAGTTTCTACATCTAGTTATGGCAATGTGAAAAAGACTGAAATTGAGTATGCCTAAACAATCTTTCATGTAACACATTTACTGTTGAAGATTTTATTCAATAACAACTTAACCTAAATTATAGGGTGATATAAAAATAAGACAAAACCAAAATACTTTATAACTTTTGTCAGCTGGAATAGCAACTAAAAGTCCATGAGTAAAATTAACACAGCTAGTGTGGTACAAAAATAGGTGTTTGCATGACTCATCTGGCTCTGAACAGTACATTAATAAATTATGAGTCTCCAACATCTGATCCACTGAAATTACCCTAAGATTTCTTCAGACAACCATGATCTCAAGATGCTTTTTATTGAACCTACCCAACACTCAGAAAAACAAGTGGTGTTGGAGACACACACTGCTGAAACAATGAATACTTTGAGAGTTCATCTTTCAGAAGATCTCACTTTAGTTGAATGAAAAATCCAGAAACTATTCAGAATTGCTGGGTGTAATGTCCTTCCTATCCAGATCATCACAGCATATCACCCTTTTCTAAATGCTGAATGACTTCCACTGCTTTTCCAGACGCCCTAAAGCTTGGTAAATAAAATTGAGACATACGCCCAAGGGCGGCTCCAGGCACCAGCGCACCAAGTGCGTGCCTGGGGTGGCAAGCCGCGGGGGGCGGCCTGCCGGTCGCCGTGAGGGTGGCAGTCAAGCTGCCTTCGGCGGCATGCCTGCAGGAGGTCCACCAGTCCCGCGGCTTTGGCGGCAATTTGGCGGCGGGTACGCCGAATCCGCGTTACCAGCAGACCTCCAAAAGCTGCCTGACTGCCGTGCTTGGGGCGGCAAAATACATAGAGCTGCCCCTGCATACGCCAAATTCTTGCTAAAATATGCAGGTATCTCCACCAGTTCAGAGCAATTAGAAGGCGGGAGGGATCAAAAAATTTTTTTTCTGTCTTATTCACTCAATCAATGACCTTCCTGCACAAGAACTATACTGTATTTTCCACAATGATGTTACAGTGTCAGAAGTGTTGATTGTGCATTGCTACAGTATCTCTTCCTGGACTACTATCTTCTGGAAGAAGCTGCTCCTGAAATGATTTCACAGCAGAAGGGATATACATTTTTTGAATGAGCAAGAAGGGGCATGTAGCGGGACGTGTCCTTGTGTGTATTGCTATTACAATTTGGATTAGGAATTGTATGATTTGCCTTAATGTTTGGCAAAGCTGAGGAGGGACTGTATGGCATAAATAATTTGTTCTTTGTGCTGGTACCCAGTTCCATACTATCTAACAGCAGTTTCATTACACTCTGTTGGGGTACTTATACAGATCCTGTCATCATAGTTCCTGAACATCCCATGACCATTCATGAATGGATATTCCCAGAAACATCCACTTTGACTACAGTACCTATAAACTACGAAGTAGTAGAAATTATTTCCCTTGAGCTGCAGTTATACTTGGCTGTAGAGGACTTTGGCTTCCAAGGGCGGTTAGAAAATATTGAGCAATGCTTTTCCTTCTCAAGAAAAATGTTCTTCTTCACCATCACTCTGCTTTGTGTTTATGAGAACAGATTAAGACATGCTTTCAGGCAAGCAGACGGAGTTTTGCATATGTTACAAGTGAGACCTGGAAAAGCAGCCAAACTATTGCATATCCTTCTCTGCCACTCAACAGCTTTGAGCATAAAAAAATTATATTTCAGCTTCTGGGCCTGGGATCAACATTTTTGCAACTGCTACCAGCATCACTAAGCAAACATACTGGATGCAACACTAACGAAAACAGCTGTGCTCAAAGTGGCTGAAACACACAATGCTGAGAACACTCAAAGGCAGCTGGAATGTCTGGCTAACATTTGGATCACCTCACAGGGGCTTATACAAGGCTTCTTCCTCATATTGTTGCCCTCCCTCTCTGGGATAGTATTGGATGTTAATGTATATGTTAAAATATTGCTATTGATGGTTATTTATGCCTTTAATAATGTTTCAGCCTTTCCTCACCAACCTATGGCATTTTCATTCTGGTGTGCCTCAGGGCAATGACAACTAGTGAAAGTAAACCTTCCAGGGCATAAATCATTTCCATCTCATTACTGGCTGTGCAGATGTATTTGCTGTTCTCTAATGGAATATGAGCTAAAAAGCAGAATCTGAAACAAATACAGTGAAATGAATGAGGAAATGCCTTTGTATGATTTACGCAAATTTCCTTGTGACTAGCCAAGAAACTTTCTTCCTTTACTATATTTACTGTATGATTATCGAGCTTTTCAGTGGTCTGTCAAAACTAAGGCCTTGTCTATACCACAGGGGAAATTCGATCTAAGCTGTGCAATTTGAGTTATGTGAATAGCGTAACTCAAATCGACGTAGCTTAGATCTACTTACCACGGGGTCCACGCTAGGCGATGTTGATGGAAGATGCTCTCCCGTCGACTCCCCCTACTCTTTTCGATCCAGTGGAGTACAGGATTCGACGGGAGAGTCCTGTACTAAATCGACCACTGATGCATCGACCACCACTCGTCGCTCCCCCGGTAAGTGTAGACAAGCCCAAAGATACTCTTTCTCTCAGTCTGCCTTTCATGAATTTAGTTTGTGGGGGTATGTTTACATTGCAATCAGGAGATGTGATTGCAGCATTAAATAAAAGCTAGTTTGAGTAGCAACAGCAATGAGGCTGTGGCAGCATAGGTGGCTGCATGGGCTAGCTCTGTTCATCCAGGAGCCTGGGTACATACTTGAATGGCCACCACTCATGCTGCCACGGCTTCACTGCTATTGTTACTTGAGTTAGCCTTGATTTAGCAATCTCAAAGCTAGTTCAGGTATGGCTACAAAGGCTGAAATCACTCCTCCTAATTGCAGTGTAAAAATACCCTCTGCAAGAAGATAGATTGACAATCCTGTACAGCTAAATCCTCTGTTTATCCACAAAAACGGCTCAATTGCTGGACAAGCTGTCCCACACTGCCATACTGTTGTGCCTTGGACCTATAATGGAGCGACCATTGCTACAAGTGAGAAAGTAGTTCAGTCTCCACCTATGTGAATCCTTTGCATCTATAGAAATGACCATCAAGGACACCACATCATGTCAGAAGCTTAGGCCATGTCTACACTTACAAGCTTACAGTTGCACGGCTGTACCAATATAGCTGTGCCACTGTAAGATCACTTGTGTAGTCGTGTTATGCTGACAGGAGAGAGCTCTCCTGTCAACATAATAAAACCAGCTCAACGAGCGGCGGTAGCTATGTCGGCTGGAGAGCATCTCCCACCAACATAGCGCTGTGGACACAAGTGCTTATGCTGACAAAACTTACATTGCTCAGGGGTGTGTTTTTTCACACCCTTGAGTGACAAAAGTTTTGCCAACATAAATGCTAGTCTAGACATGGCATAAGTTAAGCACCCATGTTTTAGGGTGCTTATTTGAATTCTGAACCTTTATCTTCCATCACTGGAGTTTGTATGTATTTTTGCTATATTGACAGTCAGGTCTGATGCTTGTG